AGAAAAGGTGTGCTATCTACTTTTGTTTTTTCCAGTGCCTTTAAGAAAAGGTGCTTGACTCCACGTCAACTACATGTAACATGTTTCGTCTGGCCCCCTCCCTTTCGGTTTTGTTTCCAAGGGCTGCACTTTCCTGAAACCTTTTTTTGTTGTTTGGCAGGTTTCCTTTGTTACCAAAGGAAAATACAATAACGAATAACCAAACGTGATTGGGTCAAACTCTTGGGACCTTGAAGGAAAACAGGTGTCAGTTCTTTTGTGCATAGGTTGGTGTGCAGGTCAGCGTTTTTCCCCTGCTGTCGTTTTCCAAAGCAGCACTGCACTCACAAGCCTGGCCGCACAACTATCTGGCTGCCATGGCCCACGATCGAGTCAAGGGTGTAAGTATGCTTGTAAATATGAACAGACAGCAGCATATATAGCCTGTATGTTGTGTATGTTCGATCGCTTTTTCAAGAAACACCAAAAAAAAAAATCGTTCAAGATGCCAATTGCGCCTAAGTTTTCATCGTCCAAACCCACAGAGATGTTCATTTGAGTTTTGGTCTAGCTTGCAATCTTCACGTCGACCGTGGACGTTCACCAAGTGCAACGAAGCGCCGGGGCCACGGCTGGAAACGCGGGTGAAGAGAACAGCTCGGAACGCGGCTGAAGGGAATGTTGACCACAGATTTTTTGATCTTTTGATCTAGGTGGATTGAAGGTCAGTAGGCTCCATACAAATGAATGGAATATTCACAAGGTAGGCTCCATACAAATGAATGGAATTCACAAGACAGTGACTCTTATGTTTAGGGAAGGTAGCGTGTTCTGGCATTCCCTTCAGCTCTCGGACTCAGTGTCACTCACTTGGCGCCGCCTGAGGTTGGGTGACGCGTGACTGCCAAGTGCCCTTCCCCGGGATGAGATGCTTAATCGAACTGCAGTCATGACTGACCTTTTTCAAAACTAGAACCAGGGATGTGCATCTGTAGACTTGGCACTTGCAGATTGAGCTCATGTCGAAGGTGGATTCCATGTTTGTTCCTGTTCCGAGAGTGATTTTGGCGCAGTCCCTTGCGAACCCAGCCCGGCCTTTCCGTTGATCGAACTCATGGCGGTTGTTCAGCGTGAGCCTAGTGTTGAGCCGTGGCGATCTGTGAGAGCCTCGTCCCAATACTTCCGCAAAGGTTTGATTTTGAAGGTGCATGTGTGTCAAAGATCTGGCACCATATATGGACCGTGTAACTCATTGTTTTTCACTATCCCCGCAAAAGAACTATCCTCATACTTGGTCCTCGCAACCATCGCCCAGGACCAGGAAAGATCACATGGAAGCATGCGGACGTGGACTCTTGTTCAAAAAAGGGCAAGCTTTTATATTCGAGGGTTGAACTTACATCCATGAAAAGAGGGTCTGAATCAAGGATGAGGTGCCGGTTCCTGGTAAATGAGCTTAGGTCGAGTTAGCAGCTTTGATGCAAGCCAACATCCCAACCACTGTCCTAGCAACCATCGACAGCGCCGAATACCAGGGAGGAGGGCTGATTGCGTTACCGGAGTCGAAGTTTGTGAAGACCCCCACTGCGAAGGAGTTGTCATCGAACATCATGTGGCTGAAGCCTCTTGTGACCTACTCACCCTCAAAGGCCTGGGACACCATGACTTATTTGTGGTTTGACGTTTAACTAGCCAACCCCATTTTTAAAAAAATACGAAAGACATACTGGCCACGCAAACAGCTTGCGGGACTTTTCAAATCCATTGCCATCGATCCAGGTCTTGGGTGCATATTTTCTCACTGATGCATGGCTGATGTTGGATCGGAGCTTGGGATTCAAACTTTTTCGTCCGCAGCCCCACGAAACGCGGATGAAGTTAGCCGCGTACGAGGCCTGCAAGGCCAAGAAATGCATGGGGGCGCTTCGCAGCCTGTGGAGGAGTTCAAAAACCGGTGGCCACGACCAGAACATCCGCCACCTCAAGAGCTTCCTTCGCGACAGTCCAGGCCGTCGCGCTGATGATTCGCCGGTTGATGATGAAGCTGGATCAGATCCAGCATCGGAGCCAGAGCCTGTGCCTGCGCCAGTGCTTGACGATGACAGGGAGTCCTGCTCCGAGTCAACGTCTGAAGAGGAGGCGATTGAGAAGGACGCAGAGCCTTCACCAGACTCTGAGTCTGATTGCAATTCACTGACGGCCAGGACGCTGCGATTGGGTGAGTCTCCCGGATCCAGCTCAAGCAGTGCATCGGAGTCGCCTGATCATCGAGACTCGCAAGTCTCATCTGGCTGGATGGGCAAAGCCATGTCAGACATTACGCGGCAGACCATGGCAGCTGAAGCATGGGAGCGGAAGCTCAAGGACCTCCTCCTTGACATCAAGTTTGATTTGCAGGAGCAGCTGCATGTTTCTATGGAGGGGGCTGAGTGGGACCAGTACTCGGAGTGGTGCAGAAATGTTTTGACTGCTCACGGTGACTCGGTCTACGCCAAGCTTGCCGACGCTGGCCACTTCAAGCGGTGGATTTTCCGGCAGAAGTCTCAGCCGGGCGAGGAGAAGGGTTTGCGCGTGAGCGTCTGTCATTTTTGACTTGATGATTTGTTGACCGATGAAGGGTGGGGAAATGTTGACTGTTGGGGTTTGGCCTCCAACGCGTGAGGATCATCCTGGATGCAAGGCGCCTTGAATGAAGCAGTTTTAGTTGATGTTCTTTTTCAGGGCTGTATAGCTGATAAAGCCTATCAGAGGGTTGTAGCGCATAGTGCATTACGTTCAAATTCAACTGCCACGTCCAGGTGAGCTTGGACAAGGCTCTTCGCACTATGAACATGGAAGTGGCCGTTGAGGAGGAGGATAACACGGTGACTCCTGCTGCAAAGCGGCCGCGAACGCTGGAGGTTGTTAGCATGGCTTTGGATGAAACGCCACCTCCAGTCGTTGGGCCCCAAACCGTCGCTTAGAGGTAGAAACTGAGCAAAGCACTTTGTCTCTTTTGGGTTCATTTCTCCACAGGAGAGAAAGAAACAAAATAACACAGCTTTACAACTTTTCAGAGAGGCAATAATTTTGCTATCTTGTCGTGTGACGTCAGGCGAAGACCATGTCGGCGGTCAAGACGGAGGACAAGATGTCGGAGTTGGGCGGCGGTGAGTTTGGTGAACCTTTGAAGAAATTCCACTCCTATGATTTGGATGAACTTCAAGTGCCTCAAGAAGCTCGCCCCAGAGTCGGGCAAAATCATCTTGGCCGTCACGGGTACACCCTCAAGTCCAGGAATGGCGCTGAGTCTCGATTAACAATTCAAGAGTACTTTCACGCTGTGTATTTCCACATTCCCAAAACCCAAACCCAAAGACAGGGCTTGGGGTTGTTTCAAACCGAAACCAATTCGCTCAAATCAAAGTTTGTGATCTCTTGGAAGGTTGTGGAGTGCTTGCTCAAAACCCGGGCCTTTGTTATCAAGAAGGCCAGCGCACAGGCGTCCACTTCGCAATCGCCCCGCTCCTCCAAATCCACAGGCCAAGTCACGTGGTCCAAATTCGGGGGGGCTGAGAAGGCCTGGCTTGCGACCAAATGCCGCGCTGGGTGGTAGGATTTTCTTTACATGTCTTGGGTCATTTGCTTGACATGCCTTTCAGAAAGGACATGTCCAGGGGGTCACAGCACCTCTCCTAGGTGTTGAATTGTGTTCGACTTTCATCCAACTGAGATGAACCAAAGGTGCAACGTGTGGAAAAATCTTTGCTTTATTCACTCTAGGACCAGTGTGGTGTAACATAAGCAAGACGCTCAAATATCCTATCGGCTTTGGAGTTGCGTTCCAGGTACTGTTCTGCACTTTGACTCGGTGGCCTCTACTTGCTGGCCTTTAGCTGCAGGCCTGTCCTACAGTTCTTTCCTTTTTCAACCCTTCTGCTGCAAGAGAGTGATTTGGGATAGTAAAAGAATAAAAAAAGTTGTCCTTTAGAACTGGAAGCAAAGCATTGATAGCGTGCTGCACAATTGGACCTACTACACAATCCAGGTTCTACATCGACTTCGTTGACATCCCGTTGACCACTTGGACCTCACCGGCAGGCCTGCTCTGAGTGGTGACTCTGAAGGGCAATCAACGGGCCTGCTCCAAGTGTTGACTCTGAAGGGCAATCAAGAGGTCTGCAAAAGGCGTTGCAGTCATTGCTCTAGATCTATGAGTACATGGTCAATCAGAAGCGCGACCTCAAACGATAGACCTATAGCGCAACATTCCAGGTTCTACTTCGACGTCATTGACATCGCGTTGACTTGGATCCCAGCGGCAGGACAGCCCTTGGGTTGGGATGGGGGATGTCCTTAAATTGGAACGGTGATGTTTGAGGAGTCTTGTGTGGGAAGAGTTATCAATATACAGTATATGTATATAACAAAACATGTTTGTTGGACTTTGTGATGACTGCTCATGAGAGACAACTAGTTTGAGATGAAGCAATACATTCCAGGATCTGCTTCTACTTCAACTTCATCGACGTCGCGTTGACCAGTGTGATCCCAGGAGCAGGCCAGCTCTGCCGCGTTCTCCCTCCAAACGTTGTATCTAAAGTCTAAAGGACAACCAGGTGGTTTTCAGAGGAGATCAACACTAGACGCTCAAGGTGGAGGCATGAGGTGCATTGACGCAGTATTCACGCCCAAGCGTTGCAGGTACTGCATGTGCTTCTACTTGCCTATAGGACTGCATTGCGTCGCGATGCGCCGCCCCTATAGAAGATCTAGTTGGAAGAGGTCGCGCATCAAAAACATGTTCAATAACACCCTTAAACTCTTGTTTTTGGCGTCATCCAAGCACCACAGCTTTTGGGCTCTGCTTCCGGTTCGGTGGGCCTCCAATCCAAGACCATCGAAGATCCATAGATCCATCGCTGATGGTGAAGCGTGCGCCTGCGTCGAAGCGTGTCACGCTGGAGCAGAGGGTCCGCAGATGTCGGGCAAGTTTGCCCTTTGAGGGTGGCGAACCTATTCCCCCAACCCTGCCACGAAGTATGAAGGAGAAACAAAGGGCTTGGTTGCTAGATGGTCTCCGGGCCATGGGTGCTCCTTTGGCTGCTAGAATTCAATTAGAAAAATCGGACAGCAAATATGGGATGTAAATCAATATACAGAGGGAAGCTGTAATTGTTTTGGCGTCGCTGCTGCGGGCCAAGGTTTTTGCTACGATTGTGAGCCTCCTCTTCCAGGTCCCAGGACTTGACTGGTCCCAGCCGCTGCAACACTTCGAGTGCTTCAGCGGTGACATGGAAGTGACCAAAGCGGAGTGGGCTGTTGCTTGTTGAAAGCTGCAAAAAGGCTATCCTTATCCCGTTCCCCACTTGAGGCAATCTGACCCCAGAACGTCAACCATGCAATGGTGTTAGTGTTAGGGGCTTGTCCCGGGGTTTTGGGGTCAGGTTGGGGACCTGCTTTGTTGGTTGCGCCCAGGCTGATCGGCATGCAATGCCGTTTGATGTGAGATTGGATTCGGAGAGGATGGACCTACTCTCCACGCAGGGCTTTGCGAACGCTCTCCACTGCGTATGCAATTTGCGCCCAGGTTCAGGCCATCTCACGGCTCCGGTTTGCTCCACTTTCGTGTTCATGCTTCTTTGGCATTGTTCAGAAATGTTTCTTTCATTTTCTCTCTTAACCTTTTCTGGATAAAGGCTTTTTCAGGCGCCGCGAGCAGCACCTTGTAACTATCAATTTCGGGGCCATTCAACATGTTATCCAACCATCAAAGGAGTCGCGGCTCCACGTTGAGATCAGCATTGAAGCCTTTGGGCCGGAGGGACTCCAAGGCATGCCAAGATGGCAATCTTTTGGCCGCGCGAGCTTTGGTGCTTGTGGTGCTGGCGGCGGCAAAGGCGGTGTTTTGGGTGCTAGAACAACCCATGACGTCATGCATGGAGTGGCATCCACTTTTCCAAAAGGTCATCAGGATGACTGGGATGCAAAAGCTGCTGGTCACAATGGGCAAGTTTGGTGCACCAACACCAAAAAAGACTCTTTTGTACACCAGCGGCTTTCTTGCATCGCTCAACTTTTCTGATGTGTGTTAATGTTTCTGTTGTTGTACGGAACACCCCAAACCTCTTGCGTGGGACTGCGTTCAAAAGTGAGCCAAGGTCATGGTTGCTTGGCTGACATCACCGAGTATGAGATTGAGCCCGACTATAGTGACAACAAGGAAATGGTGGTTCGCTATACCAACGCCAAAGGTGAGGCAAGAGTCCATGGAGGAACAGATCTGAAGGGCTCGCAAAGCTACCCTAAGAAATTTGGGGAAGCTCTATCCAAGGTTCGCAGCAAATACCAAAAGAAACACCATCGCGAAGCGATGGCATGGTTGCGGCAAGCCCGCCGATGTGAGCGGGACTATGATCGCCGCCCACGGTTGAACAGGGCATGGGTCACCGGTGCAAACCTGCAACCAGTCCTAGATTTTCTTTCTGCTAAGCAGTAAAATTAGCTGCTAGCTGTTTGGCTTTATTCTAGAGTGCTTTGCGGCCTGCCCCGCAGTTTGCCTGGAATCTCAGTTATGCGCTTTCTATCTTGACGGGGCTCAGATCAAGAAGGGAAGTGGAAGAAAACAAGCGTCCCCTGCAGTCACGTTCACTGTTGTTTGGCACTGGACAGGCACCGACACGTTCTTAGCTATTCGCTGCAAACACATGGTTTTGGGTGACTGTGGGGGCTTTGTTTGATGGCCATGGCTGAAGGTCACATGTGGGCTCCAAAAACTCTCACTCTGGCCCTGACCCCTCAAAGTTTTAGTCAGCCGCTTACCCGCGCTTTCCAGGAGGCGCCTCGAAATCATCTGAAGGCCTTCAACTTCACCTGCCAGAAGGCGTGGCTTGGGGGGCCATGCAGTCGACCTGTTTCGTGATACCTTCTTTAGAAGGATCCAATGGCCTTTAATTGCAAGATTTGTCACGGCCCATGGTTTGCCTGCGCTTGCACCCACCCAGTCTCCTCTAAATCAGGTGATGCCACGCCTCTGCTTGAAAAGAGCAGCCACTCAAGAAGGCCTGCAAACGGCGTCGTCGAGCGCAGAATGCATTGGCAGTGAAAGAGTCAACCAAGAATGGATTGTCACTGTTTTTTTTGCACAATTTCACTCATGCGAATTGCAGCGAAAAACTTGCGAAATGGAGCGAAATGTTGCGAATTGTAGAATTCATCACAAAACCCACTGGACATGTCACACTCAGAACTCTTCAGCAACCCGGCTCACACCCAGGGGGTACAGGTTTAGCTTAGAAGAACGCCATTCCATCATGCCAGATCCGAGAACACCACCTCGCAAGAGGCACCGCTCGAAAGGACCTGGTAGCCCAAGGCCTCCCGCCCTTAGAAAACCAGTTCAGGGAGAGAGGGAAAGAGGGCGACCGAAAGAAAGGTCAGTCAAGGTGGATCCAGTGCCCACCAAGATCCCTGACAAGAAGCAGAAAGTGAAGAAGGAGAAAAAGGAAAAGGATAAGAAAGAGGAGAAAAGTGATAAGAAGCGTGAGGGAAGCAAGAAAAGGGTGGCCGCAGAAGCCCAGGAGGCCCAGGAGAAAGAAGTGGCCAAGTTGAAGGAAGTGCAGGAGAAGGCTGGAGAAAAGAAAGAAGCGAAGGGTGAAGGCAAGAGGGAAAAGAGGGATAAGAAGGGTAAGAAGGAAAAGAAAGACAAGAAAGACAAGAAGGAAAAGAAGAAGGGAACAAAGAAGAACGTGAAGAAAGAGTCAAAGAAAAGGAGGTCGGATGAGAAGAGTGATGCGAAAAGAATCAAGTACGTACCATGTGTGAAAGAGAAGATAGAGCACATCTTCGATGACAAGGGTGACTCGAGGGCTGATGAAGGGTGCAGTGAGGCGACTACAAGAAGCAGCTCACGTGTCCGAAGCACGACGAGCATGTCGTCCAAAGAGAAGGCTGAGCAAAAGCTCAGAGAGTTGACTGCTATCATGGGTGATTCCGACCACGACGAGAGTGAGGAGGTGACTGATGAGGAGGAGCTCTTGGCGATGGGAGACGAGGTCAACGCAGAAGGCGCAGAAGAAGAAGACAGCGATGAAGGAGAAGCAGATTCAGAAACCGAAGAAGAAGAAGCAGAAGAGATGGGAAGCGAGGAGGAGGAGGATAAGGAGGAGGATGAGGGCAACAGCAGTGAAGAATCCGGGGATGAGGCGGAGGATGACGATGAGGGTGAAACTTCGGGAGAATCGGAGGAAGAAAAGGATGACAACAAAGAAGAGAAGGAACGTGAGCAGGAGGAGAAGAAGAAGTTGGAGCACGCTTTGGTCCCAGTGGTCAAAACGTCTCAAGAGAGCGTTCAAGTTATGAGGAACTCAATGACTAACAAAAAAGAGTGGGACACCTTCACCAGACAGGCAAAGACCAAGATGCCCATCGCGCTCAATGACACCTATCAGGCTTCGAAAACTGAACTCTTCAACATGTGGCTCGACTCGAATTACAGCTGGTCTGCCTGCGCTTTAGCAGTAGAACGAAAGCATCAGGAGAGCAACACTGCAAAGAAGGGATGGAAGGCAATACAGGGGAAAGAGCTCAAGAATCGCTACACTGCTGAGAAGTGGGAGCAGGTAAAGAAAAAGAGACTCGAGCAAGGGCTCTATTACAAGGACGATGACTTCCCAGACGACGATGATGAAACACGGCAGCATCAAGCCCCAAATCAACTGCGCGGCGGGGTTGTGAGAAAGCATTGGATGAACAAGACTAGGTCAATAACCCCTATGTTGAGTGTTTGGTGTTTGTCCATACAGTGCTCAAGCCACTACCAAATTGCCTCATCTCCATTTGCCCCGCTCCGATCCTAGGAAACTTGGTACTTTGTCAAAGAAGGAGAAAGTGTCTCGAACAAGGTGGAAGTACAAGAGTCCATGACGTTGGCCGCTCGACTGGACATGGACGAGAACATGAGACAAGCCATTACCAATGAAGAGAATGGACTCATGAAGGTTGGTGCTTTGCCAAAAGTCAGTGTGGCCAGCACTTCTGGCAACAAAGCCTTGATGGAAGCGATCGGGGACAAGGCGAGCTGTTTGTGTCAATGTTTGTGTGAACCTCTGCCAAAACTTGGGTTAGACCTATTCATTCGTGGAGCAAACCTCCCACGCCTATATTCATTCATGGAGCAAATCTCCCACCAGCAGTTCTAAATGATCAACGATTGCTCCAGCATGTTTGTTTTACCCAAACTTCACAACAACAGTATACACTCTCGACCACCGCGTGCAGGTGAGCGCCCCTGCAAAGAGAAAGCCCAAGAAAGAGGAGGAGAAACCGGAGAGTGTCACCCCATTAACTTGGGTTGGCAAGGGGAAGAGCACCTTACCTGAAGTCTTGAAAGCGGCGGCTGACTGTCGCACTGCGTCCTTGAAGCTTGCTGGGATGGAGTACGCCCAAGAGTTGGCTGGAAACCTTTTGAAGCAGGCTGAGGAACTGGAGAAGCACTACAAACTCCTGGCAAAGCACGTCAACAATGAGTCCGAGAAGGATGTCAAGCTAGTGTTGGGAACGACTTCAACCCGCTTGGCTGCAGTGGAGCAAGCGCAGGCTTGGCATTCGTTTGTGAGATGTTGTAGTGAAATCTTCTGAAACCTTTCTTTCTCGATTCTCCACAATGGTGTTGCATCCTTTCCCACAGCTCCACATACCTGCGCCAAGTGCTTGATCCGCTCCTTTTATTTCCCCATGTTTCCGACACATGTGACCAAGCGTTTGGCAGGCAGCAGCCGCAGCATTTCTGAAGAAGCCCAACCCAAAGAAGAAGGCCAAAGGCACGAAGGATGGAAAGGAAAAGAAGTAAGGGTTGCCTACCATGAGAGGAAGAGGCTCTCACCAATTTTAACTTTCGGTTGCGCAAGTGCTGAACATTTGCGCTGTGGGGTCTTCAGCAAGGGTTCCATAGCCAACAGTGAACGCTGTTCCTGGAGCCATTGCCCATGGAGCGTCGTGAGCTTTAGAGGTGGTCGCAAAAAAATGCCATATGGCTTGTTTTTAGCTGGTAACTTCTTACATGAGCACACAGCAAAAAGAGTAGGGCGTTGCACGCCGGCCCTTCCACCATGCGTGCGCTCGTCAGGTGTCCTCGCCTCGACTTTGCACCACGCGACGAGGACGGCAGTGTGGACCGCAAAGTCAAATAGTCCTGCATGAAACATGTCACGCAGGAAACGGCAGCGTTTGGAAGGGATGCCTGATTGTGCAACTGCCAAGAAACTGATCGATTTGATTGGTCGGGGCAAGTTATCTATCGATGCAGCTGCAGAAATCTCTAGAAATGTCGACACTGTGAGATTGCTTGGTAAAGCTTCGTTTTGTGGTTTTCCGTGAGGGTAGCTGGTGTGAATTAAGAACACTTCAAATCCACTTGGTCTTCATGAACTGCTGTCTCAATTTGAGGTGGCAGACCATAACAGTCCTCACGAAGCGATCATCGCCTTCTCCACGCTTGGCACTTCCGGCGCCAATCCTGGGAACGCAGAGAGAGACCTTCATAGGTGGTTGCGAAATTTATTTGGCTTGTCGTTGCAGCCATATGTTGTGCATATGGATTTGGAAGTGTCTTGACTCAAGCGCATGTGTTGCTCTTAAGTGCAAAAAAAGGGTGGTTGGTGGATATACTTTCCCAAACCCGGAGAGTGGGCAACTCACTGTGTCACTGCGTGGCTCATTGAGGTGAATGGCTGGAAAGCAAAGCCACTTGATACAGAGGTCCATGTCTTATTGCCGCATGAAGTGATTCACGCCATATCTGGTCGCAATGCTTTTGACAGCCTTTTGTTGGGGAATCTGTCTGATGATGCACGGGTTGCTTTCTGGGACCATGTGGAGACGCTACCACCATGGGAGCATCACCCTGTGTTGAGAGCTGGAGTTTCAAAGAAACGCTTGATCGGGTGCAACGTACACGCCGACGGGGTCCAGTTCTATAGAGAGGACGAGTACTTCGTTTGGTCGTGGTCGAGTGTCTGGGGTGGTCAAGGGATGGTGAAAGACGTCCTCCTTTTCAAGTGGCCCATAGCTATAATTCCAGAACGGCGCATGAGGACCCATCAGGTTGCTTGGTATTTCTCAAAGTACCATTGTTGATGTTTCCAAAGCAGTTGTTTTCGATTTGCGCAAAACACACCTAAACAAACAAAGTGGTCTTTGAACATTGACCTTGTCTGATCCCTACCCTAGGTTCGATCTGCGGTGAACAAGAAGATCGCCGAACTGACGTCCTGGTCGATGGACATAGCCGCATCTGGCGTTGGGCCTCTGACAGGCTTTATGGGTGAAAGCTTGGCTGGCACCCCAAGGGAGCATCTGATGGGGCAGGATCTCGCCAATGGTTGGAGGAATGTGGATGTTTCCAAAAATCTCTTTGGTGAAATAGTCAACCCAAGGGTCTCTTCTTTCACAAACTGTAGATCTAAACAAAAGGTATATGTATAGATATATATATATATATAATATATATGGTTTTCTGATCAAAGTGTCTTTTCTAAACATCATGCTCCTTTCAGGGCTTGCTACTTTGCCTTCAAAGGGGACCTGAAGGCAAGACATGAGGTTCACTGCTTGCAGCGATACTATCGATGCAACCGGTGCCCAATATACTCACAGAAAGTTTTCCAAATGGTTTGCCCACTATGGGGTAGGCGCAAAGGTCTCTGTGCTTTAACCTCAACAAATGTCAGATGCGACTATGTCCAAGGTTTCGTGATCGCTGCTTAGCTCTGCAGGGCACTAAGTGCCCCCGCAACATGGACTTCCGGAATATCGGAAGTGATGCGGCCTGGCCCATGACGGCAATCTCGCATGAAACCTACATGGCTTTAGACCATGCATCTTTGAGCCCTTGGAGGGTAATGCCTGGGTTCAACTTTCTGTCCATCACCTATGACTTTACGCATAACTTTTTTTGGGTACAGCTCGAGACCTGTGCGCCAGTGCCATAAAAGTGTTCATCGATCACAGGCTAGTTGGCGATCCAGGATCCATGGATATGGATGAACTCCTATGTCTTATCCATGGCCGGATGAGAAGAGTGTGTCGTGAGCATGGGTACCTGGTACTTGCGTTGGCAGCGCATTCTTTTCGTATTGTGTTTGGTGGCCTATGTGACAGCCCTTGGACGTCCCTCCACACTGTAGCAAAAAGAGACAAACAACAAAATACTTTTTCTAATCCAAAGATGGCCCTTTCGCGCACACATAGGCTATCGCTGCCATGCAAACCCAACCTCACTCTGGCCAATATTGGAGGGGAAGACGGATACTTCACCATGGGCAGCAGGTGGAAAGCGTCTCACATCAAGTTGATCGTTTGGTGGGTTGCAAAAGAATCAGAACTACTAGCTCGTGGAAGCGCTGACCCTCTGTTCAATCAGCGGCCACACTGTTTTCACGTACATGTTTCCCCTTCTTGCAAAGCCCAAAAAGCCAACGCATTTCATTGAGCAGGGGTTTAAAGTGTTCTTCATCAATAGTGTGGACTTTTGCAACCCATTCAGGATCCAGTGCTGCATGTTCTCGCGGCGTCTGCCTACGGGCTTCAGCGGAGCATAGAGGTCATGGACCTGGCAGGTGCTATTTTCACGGAGCTGGAAGCCGAAGAAGTGCATACATGTCTCAACCTTCACCTTCGAGCGTACTTCTGGTTAGCGGCCTACTTCTACCAAAGGATTTGGGTCTGATGCAGTTTTGATACGACAAAAAATTCACACGCAAACACCCACACTCCAGTCACAAGTTTGGGACGGCTTTCGCGGTACATCGGTTTGTTCTTGCACAGTTCATTTCCCTAGGAGACAAATGCTGTTCAAGATCCGCTGCAAAACGCACTACAACCACCACATAGCTGAGGATGTGAAAAAGCATCGGCTTAACCCAGCGGTGTATCACACATTCCAGGAAGAAAGTTTTCTTGGCAAGTTGAAACACATCGCCGTGAAGTGTCACGGAAAGACTTGCACGAAGAGGGTGTTCCAGCGGTATCTCCTGTGCATTGCAATCTTTCTAGAAGAGTTTGACAAAACAGTTCGCAGTGTGGAGTGAACGCAGCTGCATGCAACAAAACTTGCCGTGCTTTTCAAAACTCCACGTTGAGAGCTGTGTGGGGTCGTGGCGCCACACTGGACGAAGGGACCCACGCAACGCGCGCGGAAAAAGCCTGGAGGCTGGCTACGACCATTCATGTCGGGCGCCAGTGCTCATGTGGAGCGGATTGGAAGATGGTCTAAGTATATAACCATGGGCTCCAAAAGTGATGGAGCGGATGTGGTGCTCACGTGTTGGTCTGAGTGTTTGTGAAGATGGGTCCTTCATGATGACATAGACCCTGTAGGCCCTATATAGGTTTAGTGGCCTGTTTTGTTGTCGATGTTTCGTGCTTATGGTTTAAACATGTTGTGTTCTGGTTATAGGTTTAGAAGGCCTGTCACCTCCTCAAACTTCTAAACCAGAAACGCAGTCGGACGGTCTCGGCACTCAAGGTTGAGAGTCTGGATGTCAACTCTGGTGTCTCACTAAGAGTTTGAAAAAACTGCAATGTCTTAAGGCCCTACCAGAGCACAAACTCAATCATGTCTTCGCTGCAAAGGCTTGGCTCAAAAAAAACAGAGGGTGCAACTACAACCGTCGACAACCGTGGGCGCTCCTACTATCAGAGCGTGCAACATTTTGGTAGCGGAGGTACACTGGATGTAAAGGGGTCCTGTGAACACGATCTCAATGTAAATGGGTTAAGGTGCAAACGGCCCCTGCGCAAACGGACCCGGTGTAAACGGAAACGTTGTAGAGTTAAAAACGGCACCGCGGTCATCGTAAGTACATATGTAAACGACCACGGTGAAAACAAGAACCGCGTAAACGGCCACGGTGTAAACGGCCACGGTGTAAACGCCCACGGTGTACATCACAAACTTGCAGTGCAGAGATCCATTGTTAGCGCAAATGGTGACTGACACTGCAACGGTGACACCCCTTTGCGCAACCAAAGGAACAACTTAAAACAACAAACGCCCACGGTGTAAACGACCACGGTGTACATCGCAAAAGTTTTTTCATTGCAGAGATCCGTTGCAAGCACAGATGGTGACATCAAAAGCGCCATGTAAGTTTGCAGGCTGCAGCGCGTAAACGACCACGGCGTAAACGACCACGGTACAAACGCCCACGGTGTAAACGACCGGTCTCCACACCAGAGTTCCAGTGCATAGATCCACGGCGACACATTTTTTGCACGCAATCTAGAGACACAGTGCAATTTAACAGGCTGCAGAGTGTAAACGACCACGGTGTAAACGGCCACGTTGCCAATGCAGGACCTGCAAAGCTAAAGTACAAAAACTTTCCAATAGCTTTAAGTCTTTGTGCGCATAGGCTCAATTTGCAAACGACAACGTTTTAGGAAAACGTTGTCGTTTGAATGCGAACATGTCCATTGCACAGCGTTGGAGTCTCTAGGTAGGTTGGATGGTTCGTGTAATGGTATTTGCTAGCTCCTTCGAGGACAATGCGATCCATCGCTGCGTGACCTGTTGAGCCGCCACCGAGAACAAGATCTTTGATTTCTTGCAAACGGTGCAATCGACCGGCATATCGGTC